GTTACGAGAGAGCAGGTCCTCGATAACAAGAAAAAAGGTTGATATTCAGCGATAACTTAAAATTTTTGAGTTTCTTTTTCAAATTATTTACGCAGAATTTTTTCTTTGTCAGGTTTGTGTAACTTTTCGACCAATAAGCACTTCAGATTTTGAGGGCGAAACGAACTGGATGAGCTAGTGAGTTTTTGAAACTAATGCATTAGATTACTGAAATGAGTGATTTTTTGAAGTATACTAAATATCCTTCAAACAAATTATAATTACATATGTATTGAACGCGTTTGATTTATCTCAAACAACATCCTGGTATAGTGTGTGTAGCACAGGGTTCTGAATCAACTATATTGCTGTGTTTGTTAGATCACTTTGATCGTTTTAACTATGATTGCCGAAGGGAATACTAACGTAGTTGAGTGAAACACTGCGAGTTTCAGTGAAAGTGACATGCTGAGGTTTCATTTTTATGCCTTAGCTTTATGAATGCTGTCCTCGTAGCAAATTGCAAAATCTATGCTTTTTTTATCGGTTTTGCTTTTCTAGTACATTCAGAATAGCTTTTCTTTCCTTACATTTAAAACTTCCTCAGGAGTGAGGTTTTAATACCAAGGGTTATAGGGGTGTTTTTTCTGCTGTTTTGGTACTTCATTCATACATTTGTGTGTGTGTCGTCTCTAATCACAGAATTCATTGAAAGTGAGTTTTTCCTCTGCAATAGAATCGAGCTGCTTATTCTTTACGTCCAATACTTACAGATGTTCCTTTGTGGTTGAAATCGTTACGTCTACACAAGTATACTGATCTTCTGGCATCGATGACTTATGATGAAATGATGAAACTTGATGAGGAAAAGTTGGAGTTTTTGGGCGTTACAAAAGGAGCACGTAAAAAGCTTGTCCAAAGCATTGAAAAACTTTGTGAGCGTGTGCCCCTGCTGCTGAAAATGGAAAAGGTTGTTGACAGTTTTTTAACTGAAGTATCAGTTCTGGAAGTTTCCGCCGTAAGAGGTGAATTTTGCTTGTTTTTCCTCTTCAGCGCCTTGAGGAAGGTATTGATTTCGGCCATCTCTCTTGTTTGATCGCTGAGCTTCGAGGGATTATGAATACACCTATTCGCGGTTTTCCCCCTCCAGGGTATAATAACAAGAATGTTACGACAGCACAAATTGAGGGTTTTGACGTTTCACCTGAGAAGCTCGATGAGGAGGTCAGCTGTGCTTTCTCTTTTAACGTAACGGTGCTGCGTATTTGCTGCTTACGTGTTCGGTTGTTACATTTTTTTTACCATCATCTTTTACTGTTTTTTCACGAATTTGTGGGAAAATGACGTTTTCCGTAACGGGAATAAATAAAGAAATGAAATGCTTTAGTTGTGTGACAAACTTTTTTTTAAAGAATTTGCCTGGACATCTTATTCGCGTTGTTGGCAGGGTTCAAGCAATACTTACGGCACCAAATGCTCCTTCACTCAGTGAAGACTGTTATGCATGGCTTTTGCAGACATATGACAGAATTGCAATAAATGAGGTTTGTCTTTTTGTTTTATTGGAGAGATTTTACTCTAGCATTTTCTGCTTATCTTGAGCCTCTTAATGTTTTATTAATCTTTCTAGTATGATTGCTTTACAGTAAATAGTTCTTCAGGCGTTTACACCTACACAAAAGGCCCGAGCGGCGACTTGGAAAAAATCTTTCAAGAAGGTGTGTAGTCCGTCTGTGACGCGCCGGAACATGCGAAAGCCGAATGCGAGTGTTCTTCTTTCTGCTGGTAGCGGTGGTAATTCACTGAATAGTGTTAGCGGCATGCAACCTGCACGGGTTAGGAAATAGTATCTGGTTTTTCTAGTGTTTAAAAAATAACTTTTCTTCGTCTTCGCTCTTTTAGCCATTTCTGGACGGACAGCGAAGACGAAATGAGCACGGTCAGAATCGAAAGTCAAATCAAAACAGGTTTCACGTACACGATATCCAGCTAACTCACCAGCCGAAGCAGTTTCAGACGTCCGTTGCAGTAAATTCCCAAACGGTCATTCAAAACACTCTAAATTCTTTCGTGCAGGCAGTTTCGAGTTCTAATTTACAGCAGACAGCAACTTTTTACTTAGCATCGGTGGCAAAACTTACTCCAGAAATGGCTGAGAAGCTTGACGAAATGGTTTTTCTTTTTTCATTCTTAGTTTGTGCTGTGTTTTTGGAAAGCAGCTTTGCTTCTCCTCTGGATCCAGTTTAATAGGTTGAGAAGTTCCACCCCTGCGTTTGTTACAGTTGACAAGCGGCACTGGGTCTCAGCTACAGCGAAAAACAGCGACTTGCGGTCTGAAAAAAACTGCATGCACTGGCAACACTGTGGCACGTTCGCCGTTGAAGTTTGCTGTGCAAGAAGGAAGCAATCAAAATGGGCTCAATGTTGAAGCGTATAAAGCCCGGTATTTGAATAGTGTTGCTAATCGGAGATGTAACTGGTCTATTTGCGGAGGCGTAGGAAAGCAGCACAGTCACGCAGGCTCCCCCGCATCTCACAGCGTTTCAGAATTGTCCCGCTTTAATCCTCATCACGAGTAGGTTTTGATTTAGCCTAAAAAAACTGTGACTCAGACATCCAAGAATCTTCTTTTTAGTCTTTCTTTCCCGACTCGGAACATGAACACTATGTTGGGTATCTCAATTAATTCAACTTGTGCGTCTTCCCCGAAGAAAGCAGCTGCTACACAGGAAGAAAGTTCCTCATATTCTGATAACGGTTGCGGTTGTAGTCAAATTATGGGTCTAGCAAGCTGGTCGAAAACCCCTTGCTGCAATAGCGAACAGGGGGTTTGTGAACAAATGTCGAGTAGTTTTTGTGGCGAAGTCACACCTTTTCGACCGAGCGTTTTGAAAACGTTATTTCCGGTGTCTCCCGCTCATAAAGTAATATTCAAGTGAAATAGTTTTTAGATTTGTTAAACTAATTCATTATTGTTGACTTCGAAGACATTTTGTTAGCAAACGATGAAGTGAATGAATGGGGAGGTTACGTTTTTAGGGCTTGGTGCCTTCGGTTTGGTATCGTGTGCCATCGACTTCTTCCTTTTTCTCTCCCACGGAGTCGTTGTACGAGTCAATTTCGACTTTAAATACTGAGCACAGTAATGCTCAAAAGAATGGCCGGGCGGTGCGGCCGGAAAGGCTATGTAGTGATGAATCGAGTCTCTTCGGCGGTATGAAACATTTTTCACCAGTTTAGAGTTATCAAAAGATGAAAAATTCATATATATATTCAATCAAGAAAGCATTAATTTCTATTCGAAACGATCTAAATTACAAGTCTGTAAAGAGAGGCATGTCAA